CACGACGGATATTTGGAGTAGGGCTTGAAGGTGGTAATCTTTCCTTGTTCAAATTGCGAGAGGAAGCGAGGGTCCGTTGACCAGAAGAGCCTTATATCTGGAATAGAATAGAGAATCATGGCGATACGCTCAAGCCCAAGCCCGAATGCCCATCCAATCTTGTTGGAAACGCCTACAAGGGGCGTAAACAGTGCTATTAAGTTAATGAAGTAGACTACGCACCTGCAGTATCCAATGTAGCCTGCCTGACGACACCACAGCCCAAGATCTCCAGCCATTTGCCCTGAAACATGACCTCCACTTCGAAACTCGGACTGGTAAACGGGAAATAGGCTTCTATCCATCGAACACGAAGGGGTTCTTCGCTATTTGCGCCAGCTGCTGCTCCAAAGATCTCCAACATTAAACTATTCAGTGAGAGCTTCAAATTCTTTGCCACTGCCTCCGAGAATTGTGGATTATGTGACGGTTGGACAGGATTTGTAGGCGAGATATGCGGTACGTCCTCAATGATGATGTTCGAGCGCGCCAAATGCAGGGATAGTCGCTCGTTGTCCTCTTCGACCTCCTTCATCCCAGACGCGTCGGCATTAAATATTCGAGCACCCTCCACTTGATGGAAGACAGGATAGTGCGAGCCGTCGATTTCGTCGCGTCGATACACGTCGGCTGTTAGAAGCCATTTGGTTTCTCCCCGACGGAAAGTTTCGACTTCATGAGCAGACGTATGTGTCCGGAGCATCATGTCCTTATTGATATAGTAGCTGTCAGTGACTGAGCGACCGGGGTGGTCCTGCGGGAAGGAGAGCTCATCAAAATTTTTGAACGGAGTGACGAGAGGTGAAAGGGAGGAGAGGTGGGCAAAGTCCGGGTAATGAGATTCTATTAGGTTCCGGAGTGTGCTGAGGGGATGTGAGGGCTGGGTATGCAAGCGGAGAGGGATCTTGGATATTATAGCAGGCGTTATATTAGTAGTCAAGTCCGTCAGGTATTGCTGTCCCAGAATTTCTATATGTTTGGGGAGTGCGGAAGAGACCGCCGAGAGTGCGCGACGCTGCTTGTGGACATAACGACGAGGTAGGGCTCGCAAAAAAGACGCGCCTTGTCCTAGTATCGGCATAGGTGCGCGTAGTGCAGTGCGCTGGCGGCCAGTCGCGGGCTGGTATGAGTGGGAGAAGGATACAGCTTGCAGTATGTGCAAGTTGTGAAAGCCTTCACCTCCCGATATAAATATTGACAATGCTTTGACTATAGCTCTCGCAATAAACATGGTAATAAATCCGGAGCATTGTATGTATGTATTGGACGATAACGAAGCTTACATGACTATAGTCTACACTATCTACCAATATCCTAAATAAAAGAGGTCGTAAAATCATTCCGTTAGAGCATGAGCAGTCCATCCAGTCGTATCGTCGTATCGCGTGTAAATGGTAAATAAATGGGGAGGCATCGCTAGAAGAGAGTAAGAGAAATAAAGCGACGATTGAAGAAGGATGGTCAAGTCAGTCCATCGGATAGCAGGTAAGTAGAATACGGGAAAGCATTGAAACAAGTACAAGAAAGAAGCAAAAAAGAAACCAAAACTAAGGTCCATCTATTACCATCCACCGAACCATCTTGCAGGAGGCCTGCGAGTTGCCCGAGGTCCACGAACGACAGTCCTTGTCGAGCGCTCATCATCGTCTTCGGTGATGAACTCAATTGCAGTGGTACGTGGGCTGGAAGGAGTGGTGGAGGAGCTGGGAGACTCGGGCGCGGGGTTGGCAACAAGGCGAGTGTTCGCGGGTGGTGGGACGGTAACGGTTTGAGTCTGGACGACGGTTTTGGTTTGGTACGCGGGCTCGGATAAGATAGGAGGAAGCTCTTTGTACTGAAAAGAAAAGACAGTCAGCAAACAAATTCAGTGACTGGAAGGGAGAGGTAGGCTGGCAATCAGTTGGAGTGAACGGCTGACAAAACATCACGTGGACGCGACGAAAATACACGTCGCGATCGAAACAGGTCGATCGCGTACGACGCGTCGGGGGTGAATACCGCAGTCCAACTGATCGTCAGTCTACAGGGAAGGACAAGGGGGACAAGATAGATGCACCAATAGTCCCCCAAGCCCGGACGAAGGAGTTGAAGGGGGCACGAGGGATGCATACGGACTCGGAATAATAAAAGGTCATGGTGGAACCTCCTTCGTCTCAAAGCTCGGAGCGGCGCTGGGAGGGCGGTGGTACCTTGGATTTTCGCTTGGATCCAGCTGGTTCGTAAACGTATTCTTCTTCTACTGTCTGAGGGTTGTCATTGCCAAGGGCACTATAAAGAAGTCAGAATATGTAACACCGAAGGAAACATTTAGTAAACTTACATGAGCTGCTCCATGATCCACGACTCGCGTCTGGAAGCGTCATGTTCTCTACGGTTAACGTGCTCTTCACGTTTTCCGATCTCCCGCTCCCTCTCTGCGATCTTAAGCTCACGGTCAAGAATTTCCTCTGCACGTGCTCCAGTCCAGCCAGGAGGTGTGAGGGAATCTTCCTTGACAATCTCCTTGATGATAGTTTGGGCAGGAGCAGTGACGGTCTCAATGGTGGTGGACGCAGCACAAGGAGGGCAAAGGACAGGAGAGGGGGAGGGGATAACACCACCGGGAGCACCAGCGAGAAGCTCAGCTTCACGACGTGCAACTTCGGCCTCACGAACAGCAACGGCGCTTTCGCGAGCAATGAGTGCTTGGGTGCGTTTAGGAGTAAGATATCCTAGGACACCGGAGGAAGAAGAGTCTGCGGTGGTGGCTGACTGATTTGACGGTAGGGAGAGCATGACTGCTAGGACAGCTAAGACTAGAGAGAGGACAAGGAGAAGGGTAGTAGAGGAGATGGTGCGATTGTGGTGGTGCGAGCGCTCTCTGTCGCTGCGGTGGTGACGTTCGCTTCGTTCATGACGTTCGCCATGGTGGGATGATGAGGGGTTAGCCATCCTGACTGTAGAGGACATGAGCGACATTGGGAGAGGGAGAAAGGGGAGGATGTACCGCTGATAGAAGAGCTGGGCGACAAGGATGTAGCAGTCTGGGGAGTACGGAGGATGGACGTCGTGTTGAAAGAAAGACGGGGAGTCGTGTGCGAGGAGTGGACGATGGAAGAGAGAATAAAAGCAGCAAAGGGTGACGCAGAGAAGATGGGGGTTCAGTGTTTGTAGCCAAATCTCACTCGCCTCTTCTTTTCAACCGTTTTCGATACCTTTTTTTCCATTTTCATTGTTCAACCAACACGTGTATCACCACGTGCACATCATTTGAGGGTGACAATAGAACGCACGTGATAAGTAACATCAAGCATTGTCACGGGCGTCTACCATTGTGGCGCCCAGCAACGCTTGTCCTACGTGCAACGCCCTCCTCCTCTAACCGACGCTGCCTCCTGCTCGGGTGCCGCTTCTCAAATCCTGATCACTGCACACCATGGCACTCCGCCGTCTCGCCCAGGAGAACCATGCAGCCTCGACCTCCTCTCCTTCATCCCCGCTCAACCCAGCTCTGCCCTCGACACCCAGGAACCGTCTCAGTTATGGCGCATATCGTTCTCCAGCAGACACCCCCTCCATCTCCTCATCAGTCCCCTTCGACTGGGAGGCTGCACGCGCAAGAAGGCCGCCACCCTACGCCACCCCACTTCAAAAGAAAAATCGCAAAAGCATGGCTGTTGGGACGCCTGAAGGGACTCCAGCGAGAAGGGCAATCGTTAGAAAAAAGGGATTTATAGAAAAGTGCATCATTTTATGATTTTTAATTGCATCTTATGAATGCATACATCCAGAATGCGAGCCATCCCTTCAACTATCGCGTTCGAAATTGCTCTCTTCCCGCACAACGTACCCTTACCATCTCCGAAAACCTCTGCCCATATGATAGGAGGAATTATGCACTTCATAAACCTCTGTGTACGCGTCAGTCGCACTCGCAAAGTCCCTGATTCCGATCTGGGCTGGGAGGACATGTATCGCGAAGGAGAGGGCGATTCGTGGTTTGATTGGGTAGGTATTACCATTATTTTCTCTTCGATTGACACTAACATGCATTTAGACAGTACCTGTTACATTCTTACTCATAGGAGCCTCGATTCTCAATGCAGTGTACCTCTTTTCACGGATCCGTTTATATCACCTCCACCGCCAACGCGAACTTGTAGCGTCTCCTCATGCCAAATTCGTCGATGCTGAACTGGACTTTGAACCTCTCAAGCCACCTTCTCTGGGGGCACAACTGAGATCTGGCGCGTGGTACGCGTTTTCTGCGTCCTGGCGCTTTTTGTTGGGTATGAACCCGCCCAAACGAGCCGCGTCACGTCCTACCAAGACAGCGCAAGTCCAGCAGCTGCAGATGTGGGCTCCGGGAGACTTGGAGATAGAGTTATTCAGCATCTTCTCCCCTGCACATGCTTTGCTCTGGACAGCGACGGGATCGTCCAACTGGATTTTAATGTTCCTTATAATGGGACTAGTTGGCATTCAAGTATGTGCATGCAATAAACTCTCATATTGCTTACTGAGAACTCTCGCAGCTGAATATGTTGATACACTCATACAAATCCCTTGTCAAGGATAAAGAGATTCTCTCTGCTGAAGTTATGCATGAATACAACGCCGGGGTCCGTATTCTTTCTCTGTATGTCTGTTCATCATTTCTAACTTTATCTAAACCAGTTCGTATACCCGAGGATTAATCCCATACGACACGATGTTGCTGTTATGACCCATCAGTCTGAAGTGGTGAATGTATGGGAGGATTAGAGGTATTTAGACATCCCACACCGCATCGTCTGAACACAGTATGGCACGTAATTAGAACCGCGGTAATACACATGCACATGGGTTTTCATCAAATTCTCCCATGCTTCGAATTCTAGCTGTTAATGATGCGTGTATAAACCCTCACCAGCCCGAAAGCACCTGTCTTCCTTACTCGTAAGTTGTCCCCCGTGATATACCGCATTCCAAGACAAAAAATATGCTTCCACCGAGATTCGAACTCGAGACCCTTGCATATCTGCAGAAGTCAATTTCTGTTATCCTCATAAGTACAATGCTCTACCACTGAGCTATGGAAGCACATCTTTTGCCGACATCACAAAATTAGATACATGCCTTTCAGTGCCCTGCCAATACCAAAAAAAATGCATCCACCGAGATTCGAACTCGAGACCCTTGCATAACTAATGCTGGAGCCGATTGGTATCCTCATAAGTACAATGCTCTACCACTGAGCTATGGAAGCTATAATATAAGTATGCCAAGAGTCTATTGTAACGTGGAAGTAATAGTAGGACAAATTAAGCACTAATGCTGTAAAGCTCAACCTAGTATGTGTTTTTGGTCGGCTTGAGTAGGAGCTATATTAACACTATTGTGACCGCATCTTCAAATCTTCGACTGAATACTGGATTGTTTACTGTGTCTAATACTTTAATGAAGTAGCACACATTTACTCGTGCACACTGCATATCAGAGCTTACCGTGAATCATAATTGTATAGTGTGCAAGTTGCAGGTGATCATTAATTCCTTTCCTTGAATCTCTGAAGTCACAGTTACTAAGCTCTATGTATTTAATTGAATTACTGTTGTCTAACCACGAATCGAAGCGACTTGATATTCTTCTGAGTTATGACATCTAAGGTGTCGAAAGATCCATCTCTCTGCACCCTCACTATGCACATGACGGGAAGTTTGATCAGCGTCTCTAAATTCTCGTAAGCAACCCATATGTAATGAACTCGTTCATCATGGCGATTTTGGAGCCCGTACAATGGGCTGTGCCAACTATGTGTCCAAGTACGGTAATGGAGTCCTGTATGTCTACATAGCAAGGTTATCTGGGCTGTTGTTAGATTATTAAAATGCTGACCATATACCAGAACTGCGTATAATGTCTGAAAAATCCTCAGCACTCATCGCCCCGGGAAGATCTTCAGGCGCCTCCGCTGCCAGTTCAAATGCATCTTCTACACTTTGCATTTCTATCGCCAACCTCACATACGATTTTCACTAGATGTCAACGAGATCGAAACAGGTAAAGTTGATTCATGTAGTCAGCGGATAGGTTCAGATCATTATGTTACTTATGAATGCACACCACGACGTCCCATTTCTTGATTAACATGACAGGCATGTCTTTCCAACAACCTCCTTCGGGCGACGAGCACTGCCGGGATTGCTAAAGGGGATAGCTATCGAGTGAATGAGGTTTCGAAACGCTTCTACACGTATGGAGACTTCTCGATGGCGTAGTTAACATCATCTCAAGAAATGAGTATTATGCGTGTAACAAGAGTAAGAGGGTATAGTAACTGATATCTCATACAAATGAACAGACTACACTGGAGGAGTCGGGTCCTCGGTGCAACCTCCCGCGCAGAGCTGTATGAACCGTGTTCCAACTCGCCTTCCCTGCTCCTCCGAGTGAGTGATCCATACGAGCGCCTTGAGCATGGAATCAGAGTGAATTTCATTTACCAAGTACTTCTCTACCATAGATGAACTTTCAGCATCCAATGCCGAGGTCGGTTCTTTGCAGAAGAAATCAATGCAACGTTTCATAAGTCTCAGAAGAGCAGAACTCACCATCAAGTAACAGAACTTCCGCCGTGTTCAACGCAACCGCAACTGCTAGCACGATCCTCTGCGCCTCTCCACCACTCAGATTAGACCATTCCCGTTCCCACAGCTCGCCTTCGATAGCCCAAGCTGATGAGATCTCGAGTGCACGTTCTATTGCCCTGGCGGCAGCTGCTTCTGGTTTGGTCTTGGATGCAGCTTTGTGAGCACTCAGCGAGGAGATAGATTTGAGAAAATCTCGAGGAGTGCCAGGGAGAAGAGACGGTCGTTGTGGGACGTAGAGAACGCGCGTTCTGTACGATGGGATACCTAAAGTGTTGTGAGTGAGGAAAGGACGTGACGATCTGCGAGAGATCTAACATACCTTGCTTCTGCGGGGTACTAATAGATGTCGCGTTCGGATCAGAGATTCGGGCAACGTTAGACAGAATCCATCATACCTTCCTCGATAACGAGTCTCGCCATCGTGAAGAACCAAGTGAGCGATACACTTCAGCAGCGTCGACTTGCCGCAACCACTTCTTCCTTGCAACACCAAGATGTCACCTAAACTCGGGTATTAATATTTAAGAACTCGATAGATACCATTCCAGAACACAAACCTTCATTCACAGAGAGATTGACATCATGAAAGAGTGGCTGTCCTGGCTCGACCGAGCAGGAGACGTTACGAAGTTCAAGGAGAGGTGTAGAGGGCATTGTGGAAGAGCGTGTGACATCATCTTAAGTAGATCTGGGCTCTTTATAACGGTCACTCTCAGTCTTGCAAAAGCACTGCAGTAAAACATAAGATTAACGGCATATGTTGCCAATATTCATAGAGCGATGAGTAGAGGAATAATAGCATTCTAATTATATTAAATAGATGCAATGGGTAATTATGGTTGCGGGGGCATGCCCATCTCCTCGGGCGTCAAGCTGGAGCTCTCAATCATCACACCGACACCGACCTTTGCTGCGTTCTGTAGAAGCAATTATTTAGAACCGATTTGAATGACATTTTCTGCATGAAACTCACCTTGAAGTGGTCAATCTCCCCTGCCACCAAGAATGCAAACGCAGGCGTGAACCGCTGCTCTAGCAGAGCAGACACCTTACCGGTCGAGTCGACCTGAGCACGGAAAGTTGCCAAACGGAGATCGTACTTTGCGCCCAGAGTCGCAATAGCATCCCGACGACCAGGTGCAGCAAGAACCTGGAGATCAGCTGCCACCTCGACCTTATCACTCAGTTTTTGCCAGTACGTTGCTTGTAGAATACCAGCCGCTTGGATCTGAGCGGTGGCGATCCAGTTTTTATCAGTGCTGGTGTACTTGGCGAGGTAGGAGGTAGTGAGCTCTGTCATGTCAGGAGTTGAACGCTGGTACAATGATTCCACGCCGAGAGCAATATTTTGGGTGAGGGATTGGAGGTAGTTTCCGACATAGATGCCAGAGAAGTCGACAGGTGAAGGGTTGATGGCTTTCGCGTTCACGCTAAAGTCATGACCCTGGTAGTCGTGTTCAAGCTGAATCATGTTGTGGCCCGCTTGTTGTGAGAACTAGACGCGGTCGTTAGTACACATACACGTCCACAATGCGCGAACGGCAGATACTTGCCTGAGCCTGTGCTTTGGTGACACTGCCTGGTGTCCATCCCTGGTTGAATCGGGCATTCACGTTTCCGTCGTGATCAACGCCTCCTTGGAGGAAGACCTTGAGGGGAGAGAGTTAGAAGACACGCGTCATCGGGTGGATTCGTGTACGTGTACCTTTTCGCTGGCAAACACGGCGCCAAAGTTGTAGGATGAAGGAAGCGTTTGTGAACCCAAGGCGAAGGAGTGCGTGACCTGGAAGAGCGGATTCATGGAGAGACTCTTTGTGAGGTCGGCACGGGCGCCATCGAAGATGTAGTTTGAGAGATGGGTGGCTAGAGTAGGAGTGTAAATAACTAATCGAAGAGAACGGAAGAAGCGTGAACAGACCCTTGACCTCCTTTTGAAGGTTTTCGACTGTTCCGGGGTGAGGAAGACCGAGGTCCCTCCGCCATTGGGAGAAGCGGTCATACGCGTTGAAGAAGGGGGAGACGGGGTTGAAGTAGTTGGAGACGGGGTGGGGCGGGGCAGAATAGGGATCAAGGAGGACATCCTTCTCAACTATGACGGGAGCAGCCATGATTGGGCGGTATAGGAGCTGGACGAAGGCTCTGAGCAGCTGTTATGGCTCGACGGTGTACGGTAGCGTCTGAAGCGGTTTGCAACGATGGCAGCCAAGGCGGAGAAAAAATGTGCGCAAATAAAGCCAAAGAAGAACTGGTCATGAGCAATTACGTGAACACGGTGGTGTTATTTTTAGCGCGCGCTGTGCTACACGCCGCTGCTCCACTTGTCTCACCCTCGTCCGTGCCGTCGTTACAATCAACTTTGCGTTCATTTGGGCGAGCCGGCTCTTTATCTATTCATGCCGTATATAATACATCATTGCCCCGTCCCGTCACCGCGTCTCGCTCGTCCATGTTGTCCCCTCTCAGATGTCTTCTCATTCTTCTCGTCTTTGTCGTGCGTCTCCTTCTCTTCCTCTCCCCGTACCCCCTTAACCCCCTCCGTAGCTTAGTCTTCATCTCATCCTCAGCGCCGTGCACGAGGATTATGCAAAGTTATCTTCTCTAGCCAATCTTACCAGTGGCTTCCAAAAGTCTTTATCCAATACCACCCCCGACGTCGACGCCTATGACCCTTCACTATATCCCTCAATACCGCAGTCAGACCGCAGAGCAAATGCTACCTTTGTTTTCCTGTGCAGAAACAACGACCTATCTGGCGTCATCTCCAGCGTGCGCCAGATGGAGGATCGCTTCAACAGGCGGTACAATTACCCTTGGGTCTTTTTGAATGAAGAGCCATTCACAGAAGTGTTCAAAGAGTGAGCCGGTGTTATAATTTCTTCTCATCGACTAATCACATTTTATTAGACGTGTTCGGGTGCTCACGGATGCTCCCGTATCGTTTGGACTCATTCCGAACCAGAGCTGGTACCAGCCAGATTGGATAGACGAAGAGAAAGCAAAAGAAGGCAGGGAGAAAATGATGGCCCAGGGAATAATATACGCTGGTGAGTCCTATCGCTCCGGTCCACGCCAAAAGACGCTCAATCAATCATCAGGCAGTGTACCGTAAGTATAGCCGCAGCATACCATCAGGACCTTATCTAAACGCGTCTCCCTCTAGCTATCGAAATATGTGTCGGTTTAACTCCGGCGTGAGTCACCTCTTTCGTTCAGAACGGACAAATTACCTAACCGCGTATAATTAGTTCTTTTTTCAGCATGAGCTTTTACAACCCTATAAATATTACTGGAGGTACGCACATCAACGCCTTGTCGTCATTCTGCGCTAATATGCTAAATCCACCAGAGTCGAGTATGTCATCCCACATAGATAGCACAAACGCCGGGCTAACACCTACTAGACCAGATGTACAATATTTCTGCGACGTGGTGTATGATCCATTTATCTTGATGGAGGATCAAAAGAAAGTGTATGGTAGGCGGTTATCATATTGTATCCTTTAGCGCAACAACTGATCCTTTGAGAACAGGATTCACTATCGCACTCTTAGAATGGCATGCGACAATACCTACCCTGTGGGATAGTGTAAAAAGTGTGTGCACTCCCCCTCTTCTT